CTTGCTATTGAATTATTTTATGATTTATAATTTAAACTAAATTGTGATTTATAATGAGATTCAACGCTCTTAAACAGAAAAAAAAAATGTTACTAAAAGAATTTGTGTTGGCTTGAAATTGTATTATTACTCTAACTAGTAAAAAATTATTTATTCATTAACTAAGAGATTAAAATCATATGGCTTAAAAGATAGATATATTGTACCTAAATCAACTCATTAGGGTACATATGCTTTACACTAAAATCAATTATATTAAAAAATATTTTACCAAATTTTCTATTTGGATTTGAAATAGTTGAAGACAAGGTCCCATTATGTTGGGTTTGACCAGATGGGTTAAGACACAGCATGTGGCCTGCACTATCCAAGATTGAGGAGAGAGAGAGAGAGAGAGAGAGAGAGAGAGACATAGACCTAGTCTAAGTCTAAGTGGCAAGTGTCTGAAAGGTGAAGCAACCTAGGACAAGTGTAACGGCTTATGGCTGAATCCAAAATCGAAGCTGCTCTTATGGGTGTCCTACACGTGGAAAATAAAGCCCTAACATTGGACTTTTGTCCTTTACATTTTAATGTACACTGTACCATACTTTATATTTTACTTCACCTTTTCTTTTATCAACAAATATATTTTTTCAATTTTTATTTTATTTTTTGCAATATTTCACTTACAATGATTTCAAAGAAAGCAAAGGGATGGATTCTTTATTAAGAAAACCCCTTCTTAATGATTGCGTTTGAAATTCATTTTGAAGAAAAGATTAGATAAAGATGCTATACTCAATTAAAAAGACAAGCACATAAGAAGGTTAATTATGTTCAGTTCTCAATTTATTAAGCAATAGATTATTGTGAAGCCAAACATAATCAGTTTTTAGTACGTTAGGACTTTAATTTTTTATATTGCTAAAATTTATATTAAGAACACTTAAAATTAAAATTAAATTCTGAATGTTATAACATACTTCAATTACATGCATGTTAATTTTGATCTACGATTTATCGTAAAGAATAGTAAAAACCAAAATATAATACTAACAAATAAGGCATACGATCCTTATTAAACAAGAGTTTAATTTTAAATGTTATTTAAGTTTTCATTATTCTAAGTTATATTTATGCCAAATAAAACAAAAGTACATTTAGGTGAATTAACGGTGTTTTTCTTTTCAGATAAGGGTAATAATACACTCTAATATTATTTTTTATTAAACAAATACACAAACTAAAAAAATTAATCGTTCTATTGAAATAAATTACTAAATTTATTGATTTACTTATTATTTATGAATTTCATTTTTACTCTTTTATTTTATATGTGAAACAATATTTTTTAAATATATTTTTTTATTATTGGTTAAAAATGTTTAATTTTTGTGAGTATTCTGTTAATTTAATATTTTTATTCATGTTTTTTAAATTTTAATAAATTGATAAATCAAAATATATTAAAAAAAATATTAGTAAGTATGCCTTTAAGATTTGTTTCCTTAGTATATATGTTAGGTTTCACATTAAAAAGGAACTTATTTATTCACAACTTGTTCAACTTTAATTACTCTTCCTTTAGACGTGTTTGAGCATTACATAAATTGCATATGTGCTCATTGATTGAGGTTTCTTTAAGAAAACACTCACGCCAATCTTATAAAATAAATAAATTACACTTTAATTTATTCCATTTATGTTACTTATCTTTTAATTATACTGAAATATCTTATAGATGGTACGTAACTCTATCCTTTGACGTTGTTGCCTGAACCTAAAAATGAAAGACAGAAAATGAGATAAAAACGAAATCTACTAATTACTTGTCTACATGGCAATGCTCATCAAATTAATCTTAATTAAAATGTTCAATCAATATCATCCTTTCTCCACTTAGAGTTGAAAGCAGGTTCAAGACCAAAGTAAAGACAAACTTGATGACACGTTTCTATATTAATAGTATGTTAATATGGTATAGTTAAAATTTGAAAAAAAAAATTTTAATATCTCTTAGAAAATTAATACAATATAAGTAATTACCTTTTTAAAATAATAAATTAAAAAATATACACTAAGATTTTTCATTCAACTTGAATTGTAAATTAGACAGCAAAATGACTTACCATGGAGTAAAGACTAATTTAAGTGATAAAAATGGAGGTAGATTTTGAGTTGACAAAGAATTGAATTTGAACAGATTCACAATTGTAACAATTTGTATTGCCTTCTAAAGTTTAGTTTTGTAACAAATGAAATTAAGAGCCTATTTAATTTGTTTGTATTTGGTAATGAAATTATTGCACTTTATTAAATGTCAGAGTTTTGACCAAAGGAAAACAATGTGTTTTGCTAATGTTCAACTAAACATGTTATAATTTTTTAAGATTTTGTTGAATTCACAGTGCATGTTTGAATTGTACAGATTGATCACTCAAATCATAGTTTAGAGAGTGGAAATTAAGTTCCATTGAAAATAAGGGCCTGATTGTTAATTTACATTGAAACTCCATTTGCTAATTTTTTTCTTAGTACATGTTTAATTAATCTCAACCGCAAAAATTTTATCTCATAACACAAATTTTGTTGGATGAACTTTAATTCCAACAAATACTAAGTTGTTTAACAAAATTACAGATTATATATTTTTTAATATAACTTTGAACCAAGGCATGGTTTGAGTAGAAGTGAAAATTAAAATGATCTTTTCATTGACTCAAACAACAATTTTCAAATTACAGTATTGTCTTAAGGGTCATCCATGCTTCAATTCATTGTGAATCAAAGTTTATTTTTACTTTAAAAATATAATATTTATATACTTTTGTATTTTTAAAATAAAAATTACTGTTTTTAATTATTTATCCTAATCTCATTTTAACATATTTCTTCTTTGAAAACCCTATGCATTGCCATATTCTTCTCACTTGATTGTTCAAGCTAAAGTCATAGTATTTAGAACCACATTTGACTTTTCTCTACCAAAATGGATTCCATCTTCAAAAAACTGGTTGACAGCATTGTTTGTTTAGCAGTGCCAAAATAGGATTCACATTCCCCATGATAGTTCACTAGAAGTAGCTTGAAAATTTGTTTGTTAGAATATAATTTTAATTTATGTCAATTAGAGTTTTTTGGAACTGAGTTTTACCACACAAAAATAAGAAATTTCATTAACAAATATTTATTATATCAAAGTTATAAAAGCATAAAAAACACTTATTTTTCAAGAAACAATTTAACTCCAAGATATAAACATTTTAACAATATCACTATTTTTAATATCTTTATTTTCTATCACATTTATTATTTCTTTCTAATCTAGTTCTGTCTTTGAAGGTATAAGATGTCTATTAAATATTTAAGTATTGGTTTAGACAAAGTTAGAGGGATCCAGATGTAATTTACTTTTACATCTATAATGATAAGCATTTAAAATGGTTTGAAAGTTGATCCCACCAAAAATTAAACATGGGTACATAATTAGTCAGTTTTTCACATTAACTTTTTGGTTATTATAATTTGAAAAGAATGAGGTGAAACGTTTAGGAAAATTATAATAATAAGATTTAGATTTGATTAGATGAAACGTAACTTAAAAAATTTTGATGGAAGTAATGACTTTGTGGGGAAGATAAGCTTTTTATTTACTCTAAAAAATATTATTTTCTCTTTCACTCACAGTCACAGTCACGGGTAAGGAAAGTCTTTCCTAACTAAGGCAGCTATAAACCTGCTACAATGACCAATGCCCACTGTCACGTGCCACTTTTTGCTTTCAGATTCTACCATGTAATCAAGAGATCTCATCTTCTCTTCCATTTCCCTTTTCTTTATTATATTTATTGTTTGCATATTCATGATATCATAAACTCCAATATTTATATACCCACCTTTATATATAAAACCAAAAACAACAACTAACTTCACCAATCACCTTTAATAATTATTAATTTCAACTTTTTTTTATTAGGTGTAAGGAAAATTGCTGAATTTTCCTAAAAGTAGTATGCTTCTTAGCTATTTAAAGAATACATGATTAAAAGGAGACTTTAAATCCTTTTACAAATCCAAAGAACCGTTCTAGAAAATTCCAATTTGATAATTTTCCCATTTTACATATATTGATGCATTTAATATTTTTATTTTTATTTTGCTTTTCTCTACTCCTTAAATAACAATGGTGATTGTCAACTTGACAGTTTTGAAGGATTGTTCTCCTAAAAATAGTAAAAGGTTTAAAGTCCTGTTTTTTAGTCTTTTGTAATCTTTAGGTAATTCAAGAATTCTTAGACTGTTTTTATTTGAACAATGGGTTACTATATATAAAGAAAATAAAAAAAATAATATGATGATTCCACCATCAAATGCTATTATATAAATTAGTGGATATCTATGAACAAAATACCACTAATATGGATCAAATCAAAGACTTTGAATGAAGTTTTGTGAATGGAATCAATCCTAATCCTAATTATCACTAAACTAACAGATTCAATGTATTTAATAAAATTTCAGTGTAAAAAAAATGAAAAGAGATGGAAGAAAATAATTCCACTTCAGTGGCATTATATGGTAATTAAGAGGGACATGAAGGACATGATATAACTCATCATCTTTTCATTTTAAGAAAAAAGACAAAAAGGAGGTCAGCGGCAACAAAAAGGTTTGGCCGTCCAACCCTGTCTTTGCAGCTTTAAATAGGAAAATAAATTAATTAATGAAAAATAAAAGTAAAAGGCAACACTTTATTTCCCTCTAAATTAGATTGCTTTATAACAAATTTACCATATTAACCATAGTTCCAAATATGTTCATATATTGTTTTGAAAAATTTTTAATTGCCCTTCACGGACGTCAAATTGTTCTTAACCAAATTGTATTTATCGGGTTTAGGAATTTTTCCAAATCAAATAAAATCTTTAATATTTATTTAAATACACTTTATCATCCTTGTTTTATCTTTGGTTTTTTCTCCATGATTTATTATTACTATTAATATTATTATTGTTTTTAATTGTTGTAACAGTAGTATTTATTTTGAGCTTTCCATTTTTCTCTCTTTTTCAACTTTCAATTCAAGCAGCTTTGGAAAAACCAACCAGCCAACGGATTTTTTCACCTTCTGAAATTTGTAAGTTGCTTTGCTTTGAATTTTCAGAAGAACAATTTTTTTTCTCCTATTTTTTTTCTTTGTTATTTTATATTTTCACTTTCTGGGGTGAGTTCAATGAAGAGTTAATGAGTTCTGGTTGAGCTGGAAAAGAAATCTGAATACAAGTTTTCAGCTTTAGAAGAAGCTTGTTCAAGTGTGGAATCACAGTGACAGGTCATGATCTTTGCATTCTGAAGAATATCCACACCTTGATGTTGATATGCTTTCCATAAGAGAATAATATATATACGGAGTTTTGTTTTAAAATTTTATTCTTTTATTTTTGGTATTTATTACTAATTTTTTCCCTTTGTTTTAGTTTTCTGTTTTTTAAAGTTTGGGAAATGCTGGGTATGAAGCTGTTTCTGAAAAAGCCTTTGATGTTTTTGGATGGTTTATGCTTTATTTTGAACTCCAGCCTGAGAAATATTTGAAGCAAATGGAATTTTTTAATCAAATTTTCGGTTATTATTTTAGCAAGTGGGATTTTTTTTTAAATATATAAAATTTAACTTTTTTACTAATTTTTGATATTTTGCTTTTATTGGATAATGTGTTTTCTTTTTCATCTCTTGTTCAGAGGTAAATTTCTGGTTCCTGTGTTTGAAACTAAGTACCCATTTTTCAGAGATGAAAACAAAGGCAAATAAAACTTAACTTTGATCGAAATTAACTGCATTTATTTGTTATGGTTTTCTACTTCGAACCTGAAGTTGAATCTTTTATTATTTTTTTTAATGACATAACTAAAGTCGTTAATGGATCTCTGGTGATATAGAGAAACAGCTTCATGAGTTCATGTAAAACTAAAGTTTGTGTTTTTTCTTTACCATCTTACTCGTTTTTGAGATCCTTTGATGGGTTTTCACTGTGCCTTTCTAACATGGGCTAGAAGGTTTGAAGACATTGATGCTTTTGCTATAAAAGCTGTAATTTTTTTTTCATGTATTATGCTCTAATAATCCATTAGGTTTCTAACTGTTCCTTATTGTTTTCTGGGGTTGTAGGTGTTGGTTTGGTAATATAGAGTTGGGAGCGATAGTTCAATATTTGCATGGAAGCAAGAGAAGGTATTAGTTCTGGGGTTACAGTGATAGGGGCAGAAGCTCCATCGGCTTATCACGTGGCGCCGAGGAGTGAAGCTCCAAACCAGGTTCATGTTCCTGATGCTGCTGCTGCTGCTGCAGCAGCAGCAGCAGGTGTTGGTGTCTCACCTGTGAGTGTAGGGTTGGATGGAACAGCAGTTAAGAAGAAACGTGGTAGGCCAAGGAAGTATGGGCCAGATGGTTCTGTCACCATGGCATTGTCGCCGATGCCAATCTCGTCTTCAGCTCCGGCTTCTAATGACTTTTCATCCGGGAAGCGAGGGAAGATGCGGGGGATGGAATATAAGCAGTCCAAAAAAATTGGATTGGATTATCTAGGTAAAGAATGGGTGCTTGATGCTTTTGTTGGTAACTAATATGGATTGTCAAGTGACTTCTATTTTGTTGTAACCTTTTCCTTTTGGTGAAGTTTCAAGCATGTTTCTGTTTTGGATGATGAAATTACCCGAGTTAATTTGCAAATTTGTTGTTTAGATTTATAGAAGGAAGAAATATGTGTTAGCATTGGGATCTTTCTCTTGTGATTTTCATTTGTTACATCTTTACTTTTTGTGTGGGTGATGAGATATATAATATCATTGAGATTGAATGCATCTGTAGGTATTTCTTGAAATGTAACCTTAATACCTTATTAGTTATATTGACCTGGTCATCATGTAAGTTGGTCTTCCTTAGTCTACTCAAGTGAGTATTGTATTCGATTTAAATTGACACTGCATAATTTCTGAATGGCATGGTCCCTCTGCTAAGTTGTAATTTGATTGGAAAATGTCACCAATCTAATTGTTCTTTATGTCTAAGATAACTCATATGTTTCCATGGGAAAAGATATGTCTGTTTTTATAGATATTATTGCTTACTTTTAAAGGTTCAACTCAGTTTAGTAATATCTATTATTGGTTCCTCTGTAGGTGACTTGAATGCATGCTCAGATGGTACAAACTTTATGCCACATATCATAACTGTCAATGCTGGTGAGGTATGGTTAGCATGGGGCGGGTCAAGGGTTTTAGCTTTATTTGATTGACATGAGTTTGTTTTGAATTTATCTCTTGAATGTCTGTTGTTATTCCTATCTTATAGGGTACATTGATGTGTATAAATATGTAATGTCTGCCACTACAATATTCTGATATACTAAATACTAATGGTTAAGTCAAACTATTGGTTGTTTGTAGAGGGTTGCTCAGTTACAGCTTAGTGGGTATATTTCAAAGAGATATTAACCATTGTCTAGCCCTTTATTTGTCTTATTATTTGGAATTAGAAAAAAAAAAAAACCACTCATTTTTTGTTCTTGTTTATATATAGTTTTGGGGATGACAATTATATGCAACTTTTCTTTGTTCTGTTAACGGAATTTGCAAATTGAAATGGGAATTTAAGATTGTTCCTGGATTATTGTTCCCTCATTCTTTCCTGCGCCTTTCAAAAACCACTGAGAATATTGAAATAAGGATTCTACTTGCTTTTGGCTAGGTATGAATGACGGAATATAGATATATCTAAAAATACCTGTTATATAGTTTGCCCAGCAAAATAGTATGAAAATATTTGAAAGCTTTATGAAATTCTTGTAGCTTTTATAAACATAAATTGTTTGTTAGTTAAGCTTCAGTTTTCTAATTTTTAAATGGTTTCTGTTTTTTCACGGTGTTATAAATTTTTTCTATATTTGTATTTTTAATTTTCTTTTCATGGTCTAAACATTTCTATGGCTATCTATTTTGGTTATGGTCCTAGATGTGCATCTTTCAATGTTAATGCTCACTTAATGTCATATTGGATTGGCCCACTTAATGTCACATAATTCTCATGTTTTATACTTTAATCCATTTGATTTATAAATGCCTTTACTCATACCTTTCCTTAAGATTATGTATGTTATATGATGCGAAGTGTTTTTAAAAGATAATTGAATAACATTATCTTGCTTTAATCTTTGGTTCTTGCAGGACATCACAATGAAGGTGATATCCTTTTCTCAACAAGGGCCTCGAGCTATATGCATCTTATCTGCTAATGGTGTAATTTCGAATGTTACACTTCGTCAGCCTGATTCTTCTGGGGGTACTTTGACCTATGAGGTGTGGAAGTAATTTATGCCATTGATTAATGTTTTACTTTACTTTTCAAACATTCTCTTTTTTGTAATGCCATTTTAATGCATTTTTATGCTGGAATCTTGAAATTGTTCGAACAATTTGTTCTGCTTTATTTTACTCATTTTATGACAAAGAACTTTCTTGCTTTGCTAAATAAGCTTATATAAAATTATAAATGAAATTTTGCTGCTCTTTCTTTGTGCCTGTTTCTTGACTGGCTTCATATTGACTTTTATCTCTTTCAAAACTATTGTTGATGTGATGCATTATTTTCTTTTATATTATATTTGAATGAGGGATGAAATATAGAGAAAAGAAATAAGAGGATGTGAAGTAAAGTATAAATAAGGTGGAAAAAATGTATTGTTGGTTAGAAATAGAAGAGAAAAAAATATTAAAAAATTTTCTTCAATTGTTTGGATAAATGAAAAATAAAAGTAGAAATAAATATATAAATTTATAAAAAAAGTTCTTATACCGATAATAAAAAAATTAATTTAGTTGAAAAGTTTTAATTTCTTTTTTGTATATATTTTTTTAATATTAAAAATAAATAAAGCAAAAATAAAATAAAAAATTTCCATCTTCTCTCCCTCTTTTCCCCATTTTGGGAGGCAAGTTTTTGATAGGCCCCACTTTAAATTTTCAGCAGCTTCGCCCTTCCCCCTTCCCCCTAACTACCAAAAATAGTAAAATTAGAGAAAAGTGGTTTATTATGTTGTCTATACAATAGGAATATTTAAAAATAGAAAATAAAATAAAACAAAAGTGACAATTTTATGATTGAAAGCAAAAATAAAATGAAAACCAGAAACTTTTTTTTAAAATTGAATAAATACCTCTCCCGCCCTACCCAAACAAAGTGTTGAGGTATATCTTTTGTTATTAGTTTGAATTTCCTTGACCATTACATGCATGAAGTCTAGGTTATTTTTCTTTTGTTTTATGTCGCATGCATAATCAAATGCCCAGGATGGTTATTTTAGCGTTTATTTGGATTGGATTATTTTGGTTGATTATTTGAAAAAAGAGAGTAAAATATACTATTCAATCTTGTTTGTTAACTTCTAAATAACCTTGTTTGGTTGATTATTTGGTTGTTTTTCTTGTTTGTATAAATTGATTATCAAACTGATGATTATATTTCTTTTATTATGGTTATAACTCTTTGGTTGTTACCATTTATAGGCATAATGTTGAGAAATAATTGCTTGTAATATTATATAGGGAATTCAATTGAAGTCGCAGCCTTGGTCACCCTTTGAACTAAACTCCATAGATAATTCATAATTCATGAAATTTAGGGAAAGGCTTTGACTGCTCTCTTCCCTCTCATATAATTAAAATAGCTGCTCTGAAAAGGGACTCTGAAATCTTGAATAAATCTAGCAGAAAATACTCTAAATTTAGACATGAGAATATTGGCTTCTTGATTGTTTTGAAAATATTCAAATGGGGGGTAGGGGTGGCAGCGGTGGTGAATTTAGCTACATTTGTGTTTATTAAATTATTCTTGATATGCATGTGAGGCTTAAGAAACGAAATATCCCCCTCTGTTGGTACTTGATGTTCATTTGCATAAGTTCATCAATGAGTCAAGAATTGTAGTTTTGTTTGATCATTGATGTGTTCATGACGGTGCTATAATATTTTGTTTTATTTTTCTATTTTTATTGTAGGGACGTTTTGAGATACTTTCCTTGTCTGGATCATTCATGCCTACTGATAACCAAGGAACAAGAAGCAGGTCAGGTGGGATGTCTGTCTCATTGGCAAGCCCTGATGGCCGCGTTGTAGGTGGTGGAGTTGCTGGTCTTCTTATAGCTGCTAGTCCTGTGCAGGTATGTCCCTTCCTCTATTCCCATTTCAATCTTGCTCTAGTGGTCAATAATGCATAAATTCATGTATGCTTGAAAAATGAATCACGTAATTTTGCCTGTGTATATTGCCAACAAAGTAGGATTGATAATTGACAAGAGGCTAGCTTGCATGCCTTAACAGGTGCTCTTGAGAATTGCTTTTGTTTATTGTAGCTTCTGATACCAATTTGGCCAAGTTAGGCATTATTCTTCCTCAATTGAGGGATCATTATTACATGTTCCCAAAACATGCTTTTTTTATTATCAACTTGATTTTGGAACAAAATTGTTATGTTTGGCTGTAACAAATCAAAATCTAGTTTAATCTTAAAATCACAATTAACTGGGAGAAAAAAGTGTATTGGAGTTGGGTTGAGCATGTTACACTAAATTTTGCAATAAAGTTTTGAAATGAAAATGCCTGTTATTATGAATTTATCAAACAAAAAAAGTTTAGAAAATAATTCCACCTTGATTTCCATCAATATTCAAAACAAAGTTTGCAAACTCGTGTATCTTAGATGACTTATGCATGTTCTCTTTTATATTTAGGTGGTGGTGGGAAGTTTTCTACCAACCAGCCAGCAAGATCAGAAACTGAAGAAGCCCAAGCCTACTGATTATGCACCTCCAACTGTTACTCCAGCCATTGCAGTGTCTTCTGCACCCCCACCACCACCTAATACTGAAAAAGAAGATATCAATGTCATTGGTGGAGCACATGTACTGCAAAATTCTGGATCCCTTAACTCAAACCTCACTCCTCCTAATGCCTTTAGAAGAGACAACTGGGTCAACATGCACTCTATGCCAGACTCAAGAAAGTCAGCTACTGATATTAACATATCTTTGCCTGATAGTTAAGTTGATGAGCAACATATGCAGTCTTTGTCCTCAAGTCTTGCTGACACCATTCGTGACTGAGATGTTTACAATGTTCTCTGTTGTCAAAAGATTGTTTCAAACTTGTTGCCTGATGTCTATTACCATAGGATTAGTTTCAGTGTTGTAAGTTGCAACTAGGTAGAGTATCTGATTTATCGGCTGATTAGGTAGATGCTGCTGCACTATGATGCAGTATTATGAGTAGGCTAATTCGGATGTAATGAGAACTTGTTTGCCTATTTATTTGACTGAATTTGTTGAAGTATTTGCTTTGATTTTGTTAATTTTTTTTATTTGGTAAGTTCACACTTCACATTTGTTACCATGGTTTAAGGATGTCTTTATCCAAACTTCTTAAGGACACTAGATAGAAGTCGGCACGATGGGTCTATTTTTTTTATACAATGGAAAATTAGAAATAAAAATAGATAGCAAAGCTAACTAATAAAAACTAAACCAAAGTCAGCGGATAGCAAATGGGTACGAACCTCTACAGTAGAAGAGTTCTGATTCGAAGCCAAAGCGAGTCAACAAAGCAAGCTTTCCTACGAATTTAAAGGACAACAACAATCATACATTTCCTACTTACCTTAAAAAGAAAAATAACCATTTCCTTAGGTTTTCCCAACTAGGTTTCATTCTTGACATTTGTTATAGGAAGCATGTCATATTTCTTGAGACATTAAGAGATGGATTGAAATCTCATACAAAGGCAAAGGCAATGACAATTTGGAACAAGAGAGTTTCCTAGCCACTTGTTGCATTGATGGTCTGAACTTTGGTTTGGAACACAAACATGCTAATGCTATTGTCCCCACAAGTACAATATCTTGAGCATCTTTTTGACTGGAAGGAAGGGGAAGACGTGAATCCAAGATATCCTTCAACAGGAAGTTTTGATTAGATGGGTTTGATAAAGATGAGAGTAGCTCTCCTGGATGCCTTCCCATTAATGTTTCCAAAGCCACAACTCCAAAACTGTAAACATCACATTTTTCTGTCACCTTCAATGTGTATGCAAGCTCTGTAACAGATTAAAAAAAAAAATAAAATCAAAGATAACTTATCAACTAAATCACTCCATCAATTAAAGTTAGTCAAAAACAGTTTTTTTTTTTTTTTTGTTATAGAAAAGTGTACTTAACCTGGGTCAACATAGCCATAAGTGCCGACTACTAAGGTTTGATTGGAGGAATGAGGATCAAGGAGTCTAGCAGTGCCAAAGTCTGAAACAAAAGCCTCCAATTGTGAGTTCAATAAAACATTGCTAGTTGTTACATCACGATGAACAATTGGTGGGGTACAATCATGATGCATGTAGGACAAAGCATGTGCCATTCCTTTAATGATATTCACCCTCATACTCCAATTCAACTCCTCAGCTTCCACATCGTTGTTCAAGACATAAAATAAGCTACCTCTTTCCATGTATTGGTAGACAAGAAACATGCTACGATTGTGAAGGCAATATCCATGAAGCTTCACAATGTTTTTGTGGCGTATTCCAGTTAACATCTTGACCTCATTGCGAAAACTCTTGTCAAAAGCTGGATTTTGAGATTCCATTTGGTGAAGTTTCTTCAATGCAACAATGTTACCGCTAGGCAATTGTGCTTTATAGACACTACCATATGCACCAGTTCCAATGCAGTACTTGAGGTGAAAGTCCTCAGTTGCTTCAATGACGTCTTCAAATGCAATTTTACCGTCATAGTTCCATATAGAAAAGAAGTCTCCATTCTTTGTTGATCTTCCTTCAAATTTGGCCTTATTCATACACTTTGGGAAATATAATGTTGCAAGTACAGAAAGAATGATGCAAGTGATAGGAAGAGCAATTACAATGATAGTCTTTACTTTACTAGTTGTTGTACTAGAGTGAGAATTGGTTTGGAGGACATAACAAGCTGCGTAATTAGGTGGGTCGTAAGTGATAAGTGCATTTTTTGGGAAAGAACAGAAGTCCGGTAATTTAGATTCTGAGTCAAGGTTTTCTGGAAAGTCAAAAAAATTGTATGAAAGATTTATATATCCTAAATTCGCAAGTTCCGTATGTAACTTACCAGTCAGATTATTATAACTAAGATCCAACCTATCCATCATAGAATTTGTTCCAAAAACAGATGGAACCTGGCCGCTGAAAAAATTATGACTAAGGTTAAGGTCAGTGACACAACCAATTTGGGAAGTGATGCTTCCATTTAACAAGTTACAGCTTAAATCCACTGTTGCAAGTGGACAATTCAGGATAGGAGATGGGATAGAGCTGGTGAGGTGGTTGTGGGAAAGATGTAAGTGTTGTAAAAGTGTCAAGTTCACTACTTCTATTGGTATGGGACCTTCAAATTGGTTTGAATGAAGATAGAGATAGATTAAATTCTTCCATTGACCCAACGTGGAAGGGATTGAACCGGAAAGTGAATTATGTGAGAGATCTAATTGTTTCAATTGTGTCAGATTCCCCAGTTCCATTGAAATAGGACCTTGAAATTGGTTTGAATCAAGATAGAGATGCTTTAAATTCTTCAATTGACCCAACGTGGAAGGGATTGAACTGGAAAGTGAATTATGTGAGAGATATAATACTTCCAATTGTGTCAGATTCCCCAGTTCCATTGGAATAGGACCTTCAAATTGGTTTGAATGAAGATAGAGAGAGATTAAATTCTTCAATTGACCCAACGTGGAAGGGATTGAACCGGAAAGTGAATTATGTGAGAGATATAATACTTTCAATTGTGTCAGATTCCCCAGTTCCATTGGAATAGGACTTTCAAATTGGTTTGAAGGAAGGTAGAGATAGGTTAAATTCTTCAATTGACCCAACGTGGAAGGGATTGAACCGGAAAGTGAATTATGTGAGAGATCTAATTCTTTCAATTGTGTCAGATTCCCCAGTTCCATTGGTATGGGACCGTCAAATTGGTTTGAATCAAGGTAGAGATAGGTTAAATTCTTCAATTGACCCAATGTGGAAGGGATTGAACCGGAAAGTGAATTATGTGAGAGACCTAATTGTTTCAATTGTGTCAGATTCCCCAGTTCCATTGGAATAGGACCTTGAAATTGGTTTGACTCAAGGTAGAGATAGGTTAAATTCTTCAATTGACCCACTGTAGAAGGGATTGAACCGGAAAGGGAATTACTATGGAGAGACAACATCTTCAAACGTGTGAAATTGGCAAGTTGGAGGGGTATAGGACCTGCAATGTGGTGGAAAAAGGAAGGAAGAGAGGTATGTATGAGATTGTGCAACCAATTGAATGTAAAAGAGATAACTGAACGCCACTAAACATTAAGCCTAGAGCTTACCACGAAGGCGATTGTTGGACAGGTCAAGATCTTCAAGCATTATACGTGTGGTTATTTCTTTAGGGATGCTTCCTCCTAGTCCCATTCCATTTAGATCTAGAATCACTAAATTCGAGAAGGCAGTGACGTTCAACTTCCCAATCTCCAGCATTTCTTCTGATAACAGATACTCATTAATTAATTCCCATCCGGATATATAAACAACGCTTCCATCTTCATTGCATCTGATACCTTCCCAATCACAATGGTCAGAGACATTTGGGTGATGACTCCACCAACCCGTTTGGAGCAGAGCTTGTTTTTCTTCATTTATACTGGAAAGTGCGGTGCAAGTGGGCATTAGCATGGCAGAGAAAAGTGTCACTGCCACTAAACTGCCCATAGTTATGAATTTAGATTCAATTAAGCAGTGGCTATGGCTAATCATAGAATATAAGTAACATTGCCATATATAACAATACAAGTTAAAGTGCAAAATGTGTTCCCAATTTCCTATCAACTTCATCTTCATTTGGAAGAAAGTGCAATCCAGTGACTTGTGTGTGAGAAACGTGGAATGTCTTTCGGAAAGTGCTATGATGGGTTGACTCGTGACTTTGACCGATATGCTAAGTTATTTGCTATGCTTCTGCTGCATAGTCTTAATTCATTGCATTGCTTTCCTTTCCTTCCTCATATTTGATCAAATTTGTTGAGACTCCGATTGATCCACTTCCTCATGGAAAATAAATTTGATCAAATATGAGGAATGAATGGAAAGCAATGCTTAATTGAATCTAAATCGATAACTATGGGCAGTTTAGTGGCAGTGCACTTTTCTCTGCCATGCTCATGATCATGCTAATGCCCACTTGCACCGCACTTTCCGGTATAAATGAAGAAAAACAAGCTCTGCTCCAAAGGGTTGGTGGAGTCATCACCCAAATGTCTCTGACCATGGTCATTGGGAGGGTATCACATGCAATGAATCGGAGCTCTTCTAATGTAGAGGTTCGTACACATTTGCTATGCGATGACTTTGGTTTTAGTTTTTATTAGTTAGATTTGCTCTCTATTTTTTTCTTTTCTTCTAATTTTCCGTTGTATAAAGAAAATACACCCATCGTGCCGACCTTTATCTAGCGTCTTTAAAAAGTTTGGATAAACACATCCTTAAACCATGGTAACAAATGTGAACTTATCAAATAAAAAAAATTAAAATAATTAAAAAGTAAAAAAATATGTATAGTAAAAAAGTAAATTTTTGGCACTGTTAATTTAAATAATTTTTTTTATAAATAAAAATTTAAATTAATAACATGATTCTTATTTTTTATTATTTTTTTTAAAAAATAATACACTACTCTTTAGTTTAAATGAGGTTCAATTCATATGGTGGATGTCTTCAAAGCTACTATTTTCTTTTCTAGACGAGATATTATTAGTAAACTTAGAATGTATTTAAATAAAATATCTTAATTGAGTAATTTATTTTTAAAAGAATTTATAATTTTATAAGTTAAAATTTATTGTTTCAATATTTTTTTTTTTAAATTTTAAGAATTTTAGTGAAATTTTTAATAGATTAAAAATAAAGAATTCTAAATCTTAATAAAAGAGTGAGAATGTCAAATTGCTTTTTCTATTTATTATTTGTTCTATTCAAGCTTTTATTTAATTATGATTAAGTTTATAATTTAAATATTATATTTTTAATTAATTTTGTTTATAATTTTAATTATTTTTTAAGAATGTAAGTAATTTAATTACTCTATTCAAACAAAAATATTTAAAATAAAAAATTTAATTATTTTATTTAAACAAAATATTTTAAAATAAAAAAGTTTAAATGTTGTAATATAAATTCTTTAAAATTTTTAATTATCTCGTTTAGATGCAACCTTGTTTACGTGTAAATTTATCAAAAGAAAATCTTTTCTTATAATTTACTCAAACTTGTGTAGACAGTATAGTAATTTTTCTCTTAATTGTAAATTTCTATCTTCAAAATCAACTCTTAGTATTCACAATCAACCATGTTTACATAAATCTTAATTTTTTATTTGTATTTTGAGCTGAGACTTTATATTTTAATTAAATGACTTATTATATTTTATGTTTATGGGCTGAATTATAAATAATTATTTAGTCTTTTTATATTTTATTATGCTTAGTGAGTTTAGTTATATTGGTTATTGAAACCTTTTAAAATTGTTATCAAAATTATTGTTATTGGCTTCTTAAAGAGACAATTTTAATTTTGAATAAGAATTAATAATTATATCTTTTGAAGAACTTATTACTGGAATCTTATAAAATATTTTTGAATTTTTGTGATGATTTTACATTAAACTTATTATTCTTTGTTCTTTATTATGTTGACTTTGTAACACTTCCTTCTCTTTTTCATTTTTTTTGTCTTTTTTAATTTAAATCTTAATTTTGTTCAAATTATTTCACTATTATATCTCATCTTATTTACGTCATCTTATTTTGATAACATAAAATATGAAATTTTTAAAAATAAGATAAATTTTTATTATAACACAACTTTATTTCTTAACTTAATTGAATTGATCAAAAGAAATATTTCCATCAATTTCACGTTATATTATATGAGTTAAGTTAAATATTATATAGATAAATGAAAAAAATTAACAAATTAATAATAGATGGACTGAACAAAAAATAAAATAAATTTTGAGAAACTTATTTAAAATAAATTAAAAATAAGAAATCAAACGAAAAAATGGTGAATTTTAAGAAAAATCAAAACTTTATTTAAGCCAACATTTACCTTACAATTATTAACATTGTACCGTCAACACAATTCAATAAGTAGAATTCATCCTCATGTTTCCTTCCTATAAGTTACAATATGAGTAGTGAAATTGAATTAGTGTATTACACATTATTGTACGATTTTTCATCATTAATGGAATAAAACTATTTATCATTATTAATTAGTGTATTAAATTTTCAATGCTATTATTTACAACTATTAGGATAACTTTTAGATAAAGATAAATTCTGTAATACCTTTAAAATTTTTTAAGGTATTTTACATGAAAAATTTTAACCAATAATATTTAAATATGTATTTAAATAATAAATTTATTTAATAATAAATTATTATATTTGTTATATTTGAATAAATTAAAAAGCAGTTAAGTCTTTAAATAAGATGAATGCAATAAAAAATAAATAGTAAAATTTAAAAATAAAATAATAATATTATATTAATATATTTTTATATTTTTAATTTTATTATTATTAATATTTAATTATTATATTATGTAATAATTATTTTTATTTATAATAAATAAAAATTATATTTTATTTGAAACTAAAAATATTTTTACATGTGTTTAAATAATAAATTTATATAATAATAAATTATTATATTTACTACATTTAAACAAATTGAAGAACGCTTAAATCTTTGAATAAGAAAATGACACAATCAAAATTAAATAAATTAAAATTTGAAAAAATAATAATACTATATTAATATATATTTTTTTATATTTTTAATTTTATTATTATTAATATTTAATTATTTTATTAATATATTATATTATAATTTTTTATTTATAATAAATTAAAATTGTTTAAATATGAATTATATTTCATTTGAAACTAAATATTTATAAAAAATTAATAGAAAAATAAAATAAAAATTTAATATACAACTACTACTACTACAATAATAATAATAATAATAATAATAATAATAATAATAATAATAATAATAATAGAACTATGTAACAATAATATAAATAATATAATTTTAAATAAATTATATATAATAATATTTTTTTTAACTTACTATATATTTTATTTTTATTGATATAAATTTTTTAGGGTTTAGATACAATACCTATAAAAAAATTTTACGATACCACAACACTCTTAGATAAATTCTATTAAAATATGGCTAGGGAAGCGACGATGAGTTGAATTAGTGGGAGAGTTCGGCTTTGTTATCTAAGGAAAGAAGAAATTTTTTTTTTAACACTTCTGTCACTGATGATTGATGAAGTGGAATAAAATAAAAAACAGAAAATATTATACAGATTATAAACTGTTCGGTATTGTCAACTAAATAAACCATCGATCAATTATTTCAATTTTAAATATAAACAAAATAGCAAAAGGTATCTATCACCATTAACATGTATGATTTGATATATTTGCAATTTTCAATTACAGTAGTGAAGGCAAATTAAAGAGCTTATTAAAAAAAGGAACAGAGATAATCAAAAGAGGCCTAGAAATTTTTATGTAAATCACAGAGTAGCATGCATTGATCTAACGTTTACTTATGAAACATTGATCATTACATCCTTAGGAAGCAAACTGTTATAACATGATGTCAAATTTAATGAAATTAGTGTAGAAAGTAAAAAATAAAAAATACACTAAAGAAATGACAAGTAATTATGGGAAAAAAATGTTGAACTAAGTTTTTCAATTTAAGAAAGAATGAGAGCTTAAAGTCTAAAATGATTAAAAAACAACTATTTATATTAGAACTAATCAGCCAATTACTCAACGAAAATAGATTAATTAACTAAGCTATTAATAGACTAACTTCTAATAATTACAACTATTCCATTTATTTTGGTCCTGTAACACATGAAGAAGATATATCTCGAGTCATGATGTGGTGGATTGAAATTTCAGATAAAGGCAAACATAGTGGCAATTTGGAACCGTGGAGTTCATGAACCACTTGTTGCATAGATGGTCTAGAGTTTGGTTTAGAATTCACACATGCCAATGCTAGCATTATCACAATAACTATATCTTTAGCAATTTTTGGATTTGAAGGAAGAGGAACACGTGAATCCACAAGATCTTTCAACAATTTGCTTTGAGTGGACAAGTTTGATATTAATGTTTCTAATGCCACCACTCCAAAACTATAAACATCACATTTTTCTGTCACAGTCAATGTGTAAGCAAGTTCTGTAATAGTAAGAAAAACAAGAAAGTTAGCTTATCAAAATACATAATGAAATCAATTCAGGGAAGTTATAAATAGATTTTCTTCTTTAAAAACATCCTTAACCTGGAGCAATATATCCATACGTGCCAACTACCAAAGTATTATTTGAAGAATCAGGATCAAGGAGTCTAGCTGTGCCAAAATCTGAGATAAAAGCCTCCAATTGTGAGTTCAACAAAATATTGCTACTTGTTACATCTCGATGAACAATTGGTGGGGTACAATCATGATGCATGTAGGACAAAGCATGTGCCATTCCTCTGATGATGTTTACCCTCTTACTCCAGTTCAACTCTGCAGCTTCCACATCATTGTTCAAGGCATAAAATAAGCTACCATTTTCCATGTATTGATAGACAAGAAACATGCATCGCTTGTGAAGGCAAAATCCATGAAGCTTTACAATGTTTCTATTTCGAATTTTGGTTAACATCTTGACCTCATTGCGAAAACTCTTGACCAAAAGTATACGGGATTGAACTAGTGAGTGAATTATGACCAAGTGACAATTGCTTTAACCCTTTTTAAGTTCCCTAGTTCTTTTGGTATGGAACCTTGAATTTGGTTAGAACGAAGGCCGAGATAGGTCAAATTCTCCAATTGATCAAAAGCAGAAGGGATAACACCACCAAGAGAATTGCATGAAAGATCAAGCTTCTCAAGTTGAGTGAGATTTAAGAGTTCTTTAGGTATCCTACCATGAATATGATTGTTAGAGAGGTCAAGATGAGTAAACTTTGTAAGTGTACCTATTTCCATAGGGATAGTTCCTGTGAGTTCCAGTGCATAGAGATCAAGACGAACTAAATTGGTGAATGCAGTTACATTCAAGTTCTTAATCTGCAGCAATTCTTCTGACTGAGGAATATTGAATGCCCATGCATCAATATTCGTAACACTTCCATCTTCATTGCATATGATACCATTCCAATCACAGTGATTTGAAATATTTAGATGATCATTGCACCAACCACTCTGGAGTAAAGCCTGAAGTTCCTGATTTATGGATGAGGAATTAGAAGGTGGCATGCTGGTAGCAATAACAGGTTGTAGGAACAAGACATAAGAGGAGCTACCAAAAATAAGTGCCATCACTAGCAAACTGCAACCAGAATTTAAAGCCATGCTTAATTCAAATTCTAATGGCTTTAGATACTTTTGATTTATGAATTTTGAAGTATTGATATTTTCAACTTAGTATTTATATGAGAAGGTTATGGATCCTGCAGGGAATAATATAATATTCCTTGTGACTGGTGAGGTTGTGACACTGACTATACGCTGCCGTTTCATGCAAGTTTTTACTTCATTAATGTTTATAATTGATAGGCCATGACCAAGCCTTGTTGCTTAATGTTCCTAAATCCTAACCGATCAATAATTGAAAGCTTAACTGCGTTACTATTTCACGCTAACTAAGTTAACACTTATGAGTTACTAATTCATCTAGAAAATTAAAGGTTTTTAGGCATATTTCCTTAAATTTAAATTATAAATTAATGCAATTAATTGAGAAATTCAATGAAATGTTGTAAGTGTTAAAAAAAATAGATGAATAAATTATATTCTGATAGCTGGTAGTTTAATTTTGAAGGAAGTTAAAAGAAATTGACACTTTAGACTTAAGGAGCTGAAGTTGTAAGACACTTTTGTGAGGACACAGATTCCTGATTGTGGAGACATGATGCTGACTAAGCATGTAAAAGCGAAATTTTTTTGAAAAGGGAGCTTGTCATCTTTTATCTTTCCTATTTTTAGAACATTCTGGAACACAGATTTCTAAGTTTTCATACAGTTTTACGTAGAATAGGATAACTAGGAAAATTTTCTTACATCTTGGTAGAAGGATTCTCATGGGAACTTGGATTTCCTTTCCATCTTCTCTGAATTTGTAATAGAACAGTAACTCTTTCATTTTATCATGTTACTGTATAAGCTTTTCTATGACTATGAATTCTATTTTTGTAATATATCTCAATTTTAATTCATTTTCTTTCATAATGTCTAGCTAAATTTTCTTGGGTTGAGTAAAGATGAACCTATACCTTTACCCTTTGCAATGAACCAACATTGGATATAGCTCAAGACACCTTTTTTTCTCTAACATATTAATTCTGAACTTAATGCTTCACTGTTCTACGTGAATGAGGTTGATGAAAAGAGGTTTATTGCTGGAAAGTAGTAAGCTTTCTTGGATAGGGATTAATTTGCTTATTATGAATTATCTAGGAATATAAATTTATGATGATGTGGTCAACAAGTTTAATTCTTAATGCTGAATGTTTTTAGTTGTATCTAAAGAATTAGGACACTAATTTCATTTTAGAACCAATTACCAAAGAATTGGAGTTGGGTATTTTAGAAAATCTGATCATTAAAGAAGCTGTTTTGAGTTATAAATATATTTGTATGCAAAGGGAAAGTGATAAGGGATTTCAAACTCAACCTGTTTTTTAATTATGTTTAGACCCACTTCCATTAATTAAGATATTTAAATTCTGCAATTATTCTAAATTTACTTTCCGCAGTTATTTTGTTTATTGCTCCAAGTTTAATTCTGCACTTTAATTTCATTTTTACAGTTCTGCACTTGTTTAATTTTCGTGCTGTTTATACACTGTTGTTTTGGTGACCCAAATAGTGTCATTCTTGTGGGTTGGTATTTAACATTAATCCCAGAGGACGATAATATATTTTTGTTACTTCAACGATTTGGTGCACTTATCAAAAAGTTATCAAATATCTTGGGATATAGATTTCGCAAGACTTTCAAGATTAAGTGCATGTTTGGTTCAGTTTTATTCAAAGAAAAAATATTTATTTTTATTAACTTTCGATGAGAAAATTTAAAAAATAAGCGATTATTTCTCAGAAATAGCCTGCTGCCAAACATGCAGTTGGATCAAGATTCTGCTGAAGGCAAGAAGTCCACAAGTTCAATGTTGTATGCAGATCCACTTGAAACATTTAAATGGGACCTGCTGTCTGCTGACACTTCTTGGAAGCATTTATGCTTTCTATGGTTGATTCTGAATACTAAGAGTTGATTTTGAAGATAGAAATTTGTAATTAAGACAAAAATTACTATATAGTCAACAAGTTTGAGTAAATTAAGCTATAAGAAAATATTTTCTTTTGATAAATTTGCACATAAACAAGGTTGCATCTAAACGAGATAATTAAAAATTTTAAAGAATTTAAATTACATCATTTGAGTTTTTTATTTTAAAATATTTTGTTTAAATAAAATAATTAAATTTTTTATTTTAAATATTTTTGTTTGAATAGAGTAATTAAATTACTTACATTCTTAAAGAATAATTATAAACAAAATTAATTAAAAATATAATATTTAAATTATGAACTTAATCATAATTAAATAAAAGCTTGAATAGAACATATAATAAATAGAAAAACAATTTCACATTCTCACTCTTTTACTAAGATTTAGAATTCTTTATTTTTAATCTATTAAAAATTTCACTAAAATTCTTAAAATTTTAAAATTTTTTAAATTAGATATTGAAACAATAAATTTTAACTTAAAAAATTATAATTTTTTTTAAAAATAAATTACTCAATTAAGATATTTTATTTAAATATATTCTAAATTTACCAATAATATCTCGTCAAGAAAAGAAAATAGTAGCTTTAAAGGTATCGACCATGTGAACTGAACTTCATTTAAATTAAAGAGTAGTGTATTATTGTTTTTAAGATAATAAAAAATGAGAATCATGTTATTAATTTAAATTTATATTTATAAAATTTTTTATTTAAATTAAAAGTGCTAAAATTTTACTTTTTTATTATAGATATTTTTTTTTTACTTTTTAATTATTTTAATTATTTTTATTTGATAAGTTCACATTTGTTACCATAGTTTAAGGATGTGTTTATTCAAACTTTTTAAAGACATTAGATAAAAGTCGGCACGATGAGTGTATTTTCTTTATACAATGGAAAATTAGAAGAAAAGAAAAAAATAGAGAGCAAATCTAACTAATAAAAACTATACCAAAGTCATCGCATAGCAAATGTGTACGAACCTCCACAGTAGAAGAGCTCCGATTCTTAGCCAAAGCGAGTTAACAAAGCAAGCTTTCCTACGAATTTAAAGGACAACAACAATCATACATTTCCTACTTACCCTTAAAAAGAAAAATAACCATTTCCTTAGGTTTTGCCAACTAGATTTCATTCTTGACATTTGTTATAGGAAGCATGTCATATTTCTTGAAACATTAAGAGATGGATTGAAATCTCATACAAAGGCAAAGGCAGTGACAATTTGGAACAAGAGAGTTTCCTAGCCACTTGTTGCATTGATGGTCTGAACTTTGGTTTGGAACACAAACATGCTAATGCTATTGTTCCCACAAGTACAATATCTTGAGCATCTTTTTGACTGGAAGGAAGGGGAAGACGTGAATCCAAGAGATCCTTCAACAGGAAGTTTTGATTAGATAGGTTTGATAAAGATGAGAGTAGCTGTCCTGGATGCCTTCCCATTAATGTTTCCAAAGCCACAACTCCAAAACTGTAAACATCACATTTTTCTGTCACCTTCAATGTGTATGCAAGCTCTGTAACAGATTAAAAAATAAATCAAAGTTAAGACAACTTCTCAACTAAATCATTCCATCAACTAAAGTTAGTCAAAAATAGTTAGAAATAGCAAAAAAAATGAAGGTGTTTTTCTAAAGCTTTTTCCATCATCCTTGGAACATGGTGTTTCTCTTCTCACCTCAGCAATGAGAACTGAGGAGGATGAGACACTGTTGGTGTGAAATGCATTAGTGTTAGTGTCAGAAGTAGAGAGAGAGAGATAGAGAGAGCGAGAGAGAGGAGGGCTGGTAAAGAATAGGGTCATAGACTAATATAATATAATGTTAAATTGATTAATTTTTACTTTATTTTTGGTGAAGTTCATGGGAGACAAGAGCGTATCAAGGAGAAGTGTACTTAACCTGGGGCAACATAGCCATAAGTGCCGACTACTAAGGTTTGATTGGAGGAATGAGGATCAAGGAGTCTAGCAGTGCCAAAGTCTGAAACAAAAGCCTCCAATTGTGAGTTCAATAAAACATTGCTAGTTGTTACATCACGATGAACAATTGGTGGGGTACAATCATGATGCATGTAGGACAAAGCATGTGCCATTCCTTTAATGATATTCACCCTCATACTCCAATTCAACTCCTCAGCTTCCACATCGTTGTTCAAGACATAAAATAAGCTACCTCTTTCCATGTATTGGTAGACAAGAAACATGCTACGATTGTGAAGGCAATATCCATGAAGCTTCACAATGTTTTTGTGGCGTATTCCAGTTAACATCTTGACCTCATTGCGAAAACTCTTGTCAAAAGCTGGATTTTGGGATTCCATTTGGTGAAGTTTCTTCAATGCAACAATGTTACCGCTAGGCAATTGTGCTTTATAGACACTACCATATGCACCTGTTCCAATGCAGTACTTGAGGTGAAAGTCCTCAGTTGCTTCAATGATGTCTTCAAATGCAATTTTACCGTCATAGTTCCATATAGAAAAGAAGTCTCCATTCTTTGTTGATCTTCCTTCAAATTTGGCCTCATTCTTACACTTTAGGAAATATAATGTTGCAAGTACAGAAAGAATGATGCAAGTGATAGGAAGAGCAATTACAATGATAGTTTTTACTTTACTAGTTGTTGTACTATTTACTTTACTAGTTGTTGTACTAGTTTGAGAATTGGTTTGGTAGACATAATGACAAGCTGTGTAATTTGGTGGGTAGTAAGTGATAAGTGCATTTTTTGGGAAAGAACAAAAGTCTGGTAATTGAGACTGTGAGTCAAGGTTTTCTGAGAAGTCAAAAAAATTATATGAAAGATTTATATATCCTAAATTAGCAAGCTCCTTATGTAACTTACTAGTGAGATTATTATAACTAAGATCCAACCTATCCACCGTAGAATTTATTCCAAAAACAGGTGGAACCGGGCCGCTGAAAAAATTATGACTAAGGTTAAGGTCAATGACCCAACCAATTTGGGAAGTGATGCTTCCATTTAACAAGTTACAGCTTAAATCCACTGTTGCAAGTGGATAATTCAGGATAGGAGATGGGATAGAGCCGGTGAGGTGATTGTGGGAAAGATTTAAGTGTTGTAAAAGTGTCAAGTTCACTACTTCTATTGGTATGGGACCTTCAAATTGGTTTGAATCAAGGTAGAGATAGGTTAAATTCTTCAATTGACCCAACGTGGAAGGGACTGAACCGGAAAGTGAATTATGTGAGAGATATAATACTTTCAATTGTGTCAGATTCCCCAGTTCCATTGCAATAGGACCTTGAAATTGGTTTGAATCAAGACAGAGATAGATTAAATTCTTCAATTGACCCAACGTGGAAGGGATTGAACCGGAAAGAGAATTATGTGAGAGATCTAATTCTTGCAATTGTGTCAGATTCCCCAGTTCCATTGGAATAGGACCTTCAAATTGGTTTGAAGGAAGGTACAGATAGGTTAAATTCTTCCATTGACCCAGCATGGAAGGGATTGAACCGGAAAGTGAATTATGTGAGAGATCTAATATTTCCAATTGTGTCAGATTCCCTAGTTCCGTTGGAATAGGACCTTGAAATTGGTTTGAATCAAGATGGAGAGAGATTAAATTCTTCAATTGAGCCAATGTAGAAGGAATTGAACCGGAAAGTGAATTATGTGAGAGACCTAAACCTGTCAATATTGTCAGATTCCCCAGTTCCATTGGAATAGGACCTTGAAATTGGTTTGAATGAAGATAGAGATATATTAAATTCTTCAATTGAGCCAACGTAGAAGGGATTGAACCGGACAGGGAATTGTTATAGAGAAACAATTCCTTCAAACGTGTGAAATTGGCAAGTTGGAGGGGTATAGGACCTGCAATGTGGTGGAAAAAGGAAGGAAGAGAGGTATGTATGAGATTGTGCAACCAATTGAATGTAAAAGAGATAACTCAACACCACTAAACATTAAGCCTAGAGCTTACCACGAAGGTGATTGTTGGACAGGTCAAGAACTTCAAGCATTGTACGTGTGGTTATTTCTTTGGGGATGCTTCCTCTAAGTCCCATTCCGCTAATGTCTAGATGCACTAATTTGGGGAAGGCAGTGAAGTTCAACTTCCCAATCTCCAGCATTTCTTCTGATAACGGATACGCATTATTTAATTCCCATCCGGAAATAGAACTAATGCTTCCATCTTCATTGCATGTGATGCCCACCCATTCACAATGGTTTGAGATATTCGCGTAATGACTCCACCAACCCGTTTGGAGCAGAGCGTGTTTTTCTTTATTTATATTGGAAAGTGCGGTGCAAGTGGGCATTAGCATGATCATGAGCATGGCAGAGAAAAGTGTCACTGCCACTGAACTGCCCATAGTTATGGATTTAGATTCAATTAAGCAGTGGCTATGGCTAATCATAGAATATAGATATTGGCACTGGGTGTGGGACTTGCCATATATAACAATACAAGTTAAAGTGCAAAATGTGTTCCCAATTTCCTATCAACTTCTTCATTTGGAAGAAAGTGCATTGCAGTGACTTGTGTGTTAGAACCGTGGAATGTCTTTCGGAAAGTACTATGATGGGTTGACTCTTGACTTTGTCCGATATGCTAAGTTATTTGCTATGCTTCTGCTGCATAGTCTTAATTCATTGCATTGCTTTCCATTCATTTCTCATATTTGATCAAATTTGTTGAGTCTCAGATTCATCCACTTCCTTATGGGAACAACTACCATTCTCTGTCATAGGGATTAAGCTAACAGATATTATTTAATTTGAAAAGCTTAATTGTATTCATATCAATATTATTACATAAATTATTTATATAAATTATACTTTAAATTTATTAATATATTGTTATAATTTGTTTTGTACCAGGATTAAAATAAAACCAAATAAGCAATGAGTAAATACTTATTTTAGTCCTTAAAATTATAAATGTTAATCAATTTATTCTTTAATTTTATAAAAATTTCATGCTTATAATTTGAAGGATAAAAATAGATATTTAATTCAAAACTATGTGTGAGATAAAGGTAGGAGTTATTTTAAAAATATTTTTTTATTTAAAGATTTATTTACAAACCTTTCATTACACGAGAATTAAATAAAAAAAATTTATATGGAGACTAAAGAAATATTTCAGTTATAATTTAATTAATTTTTTTTGAAAAAAGTGATTGTATTTAAAAAAAGAACATTAAACAATAAAATGAAAACTTTGAAAGAGAGAAAAAATAGAATGAAGATACTATATTAAATGCAAAGATATTATAAAATATAAACTCAATGAGAGTTTAAGGAATATAAAAGTGAATTGAAATGTTTAAGTAAACTTAAAAAATGAATATGAATTTAAGTTAACTAGTAAGTGGCATGTTGAAAAATGATTTTCTCACACTATTGTAAGTTTATAAATTTTTACATTTAATTTAAGTCTTTCATTTAACTTACATCTAGCGGTGAGTGAAGTAATAAATTATAACATATTAGATAATTTAAGTATTTCATTTAACTTACATCTAACAAGTTATAATTTATTTTTATAATATCTTTGCATTTAATATAATATCATGATTCTATTCTTTCTCTCTTTCAAAGTTTTCATTTTTATTGTTTAATGTTATGTTTTTTTAGTACAATCACTTTTTTCAAATAAATAAATTAAATTATGACTGAAATACTTCTTTAGTCTTCTTATAATTTTTTTTATTTAGTTCTTGTGTAATGAAAGGATTGTAAATAAATCTTTAAATAAAAAATATTTTTAAAATAGCCCCTTACGTTATCTCACTAATTATACACGTTTTTGAAGTTAATACCTATTTTTATTCTTCAAATTATAAACATCAACCACTTTAAAAGTGAGATTTTTATAAAATTTAAAACTAAATTGATTAACACTTATAATTCAAATTGATTAAGCTTTTCAAATTAAAAAATATCTGTTAGCTTAATCCCTATGACAGAGAATGGTAGTTGTCCCAATGAGGAAGTGGATCAATCTGAGTCTCAACAAATTTGATCAAATATGAGGAATGAATGGAAAGCAATGCAGTGAATTAAGACTATGCAGAAGCATAGCAAATAACTTAGCAAATCGGTCAAAGTCAAGATTCAACCCAACATAGCACTTTCCAAAAGACATTCCACGGTTCTCACACACCCTATACCTTTATTCAATTTTCAATTCTTAATTAGAAGAGCGTAGAATGAACAATGAAAAACTTTGAAGGAAACGACAATATGGATATGAATCACATTCAGCCACACAACTCACTGCATTGCACTTTCTTCCAAATGAAGGAAGAAGTTGATAGGAAATTGGGAACACATTTTGCACATGAACGTCTACTGTTATATATGGCACTGTTGCTTATATTCTATGATTAGCCATAGCCACTGCTTAATTGAATCTAAATCGATAACTATGGGCAGTTTAGTGGCAGTGACACTTTTCTCTGCCATGCTCATGATCATGCTAATGCCCACTTGCATGGCACTTTCCAATATAAATAAAGAAAAACAGGCTTTGCCTCAAACGGGTTGGTGGAATCATCACCCAAATGTCTCTGACCATTGTCATTGAGAGGGTATCACATGCAATGAATCGGAGCTCTTCTAATGTAGAGGTTCGTACACATTTGCTATGCGATGACTATGGTTTAGTTTTTATTAGTTAGCTTTGCTCTCTATTTTTTTCTTCTTCTAATTTTCCATTGTATAAAGAAAATACACTCATCGTGCATACTTTTATCTAGTGTCTTTAAAAAGTTTATCAATACACATCCTTAAACCATGGTAACAAATGTGAACTTACCAAATTAAAAAAAATTAAATAATAAAAAAGTAAAAAAAATGTATAATAAAAAAGTAAAATTTTAGCTCCGTTAATTTAAATAAAATTTTTTATAAATATAAATTTAAATTAATAACATGATTCTTATTTTTTATTATTTTAAATTTTTTTTAACACACTACTCTTTAGTTTAGATGAGGTTTAGTTCATATGGTCGATGCCTTCAAAGCTATTATTTTCTTTTCTTAACGGAATATTATTGGTAAACTTAGAATGTATTTAAATAAGATATCTTAATTGAGTAATTTATTTTTAAAATAATTTAATTTTGTAAGTTAAAATTTATTGTTTCAATATTTAATTTAAAATTTTTTAAAATTTTAATAATTTTAGTGAAATTTTTAATAGATTAAAAATAAAGAATTCTAAATCCTAATAAAAGAGTGATAATGTGAAATTGCTTTTTCTATTTATTATTTGTTCTATTCAAGCTTTTTATTTACTTATGATGAAGTTAATAATTTAAATATTATATTTTTAATTAATTTTGTTTATAATTATAATTATTTTTTAAGAATGTAAGTAATTTAATTACTCTATCCAAACAAAAATATTTAAAATAAAAAATTTAATTATTTTATTTAAATAAAATATTTCAAAATATTAAAGTTTAAATGATGTAATTTAAATTCTTTAAAATTTTTAATTATCCCGTTTAAATGCAACCTTGTTTATGTACAAATTTATCAAAAGAAAATAATTTCTTATAGCTTAATTTACTCAAATTTGTGTAGACAATATGATAATTTTTCTCTTAATTACAAATTTCTATCTTCAAAATCAACTCTTAGTATTCAGAATCAACCATGTTTACATAATTTTTCATTTGTATTTTGAGTTGAGACTTTATATTTTAAGTAAATGACTTATTATATTTTATGTTTATGGGCTGAATTGTAAATAATTATTTAGTCTTTTTAAAATTTTATGTTTTATTATGCTTAGTGAATTTAGTTATATTGGTTATTGAAGCCTTTTAAAATTTTTATCAAAATTATTGTTATTGGCTTGGTCATATTGTTTACTGTAGCTTTGTATGGTTTCACTTTTGATCCTAAATACTCGGTTGAAAGTTTCTTAAAGAGACAATTTTAATTTTGAATAAAAATTAATAATTATATCTTTGAAGAACTTATTACTAGAATCTTACAAATTTTTTTTTGCATTTTTGTGATGATTTTACATTGAACTTATTATTCTTTGTTTTCTGTTATGTTGAATTTGTGACACTTCATTTTTTTTTTCATCTTTTTGATCTTTTTTACATTTTTAATTTTGTTCAAATTATTTCACTATTATATCTCATGATTTACGTCATCTTATTTTGGTAACATAAAATATGAAATTTTTGAGAATAAGATAAGTTTTTATTATAACACAACGTTATTTCTTAACTTAGTTGAATTGATCAAAAGAAATATTTCCATCAATTTCACGTTATATTATATGAGTTAAGTTAAATGTTATATAGATAAATGAAAAAGAGAAAAATTAATAATAGATGGACTAAAAAAATAAAATAAATTTTGAGAAACTTATTTAAAATAAATTAAAAATAAAAAATCAAATGAAAAAAATGGTGAATTTTAAGAAAAATCAAAACTTTATTTAAGCCAACATTTACCTTACAATTATTAACATTGTACTGTCAACACAATTCAATAAGTAGAATTCATCCTCATGTTCCCTTCCTATAAGTTACAATATGAGTAGTGAAATTGAATTAGTGTACGATTTATCATCATTAATGGAATGAAATTTATTTATTATCGTTAATTAGTGTTTAGACTTTCAATGCTATTATTTACAACTATTAGAATAAGTTTTAGACAAAGGTAAATTATGTAGTACTCTTAAAATTTTTTAAAGTATTATACATGAAAAATTCTAACCCGTAATATTTAAGTATGTGTTTAAATAATAAATTTATTTAATAATAAGTTATTATATTTGAATAAGTTTAAAAGCAGTTAAGTTTTTAAATAAGATTGGATGTAATAAAAAATAAACAAACTAAAATTTAAAAATAAAATAATATTATATTAATATATTTTTCATATTTTTAATTCTGTTATTATTAATATTTAATTATTATATTATTTTAAATTTATTTTTATTTATAATAAATAGAAATTATATTTTATTTGAAACTAAAAATATTTTTATATGTGTTTAAATAATAAATTATTATATTTGCTACATTTAAACAAACTGGAGAGCGCATAAATATTTGAACAGAAAAAGGATACAATTAAAATAAATAAATTAAAATTTTAAAATAAAAATAATAATACTATATTAATATATTTTTTAATTTTATTATTATTAATATTTAATTATTTTATTAATATATTATATTATAATTTTATATTTATAATAAATAAAAATTATTTAAATATAAATTATATTTCATTCAAAGTTAAATATTTATAAAAAATAATAAAAAATAAAATAAAAATTTAATATACAATGTCAATAATAATAATAATAAGACTATGTAACAAATAATATAAATAATATAATTTTAAATAAATTATACATAATAATATTTTTTAACTTATTATATATTTTATTTTTATTAGTATAAAATTTTTAGATACAATAACCATAAAAATGTTTTAGGATACCACAGCACACTTTAGATAAATTCCATTAAAACATGGCTAGGGGAAGCGACGAGGAGTTGAATTAGTGGGAGAGTTCGGCTTTGTTATATAAGGAAAAATGAAAAAAAATTTAACACTTCTGTCACTGATGATTGATGGAGTGAAATAAAATAAAAAACAGAAAATATTATACAGATTATAAACTGTTTGGTATTGTCAAGTAAATAAACCATCGATCAGTTATTTCAATTTTAAATATAAACAAAATAGCAAAAGGTTTCTATCACTATAACACGTATGATTTGATATATTTGCAACTTTCAATTACAGTAGTGAAGGCCAATTAAAGAGCTTATACAAAAAGAGGAACATAGATAAATCAAAATCACAGAGTAGCATGCATTGATCTAATGTTTACTTATGAAACATTGATCATTACATCCTTAGGAAGCAAACTGTTATAACATGATGTCAAATTTAATGAAATTAGTGTAGAAGGTTAAAAATAAAAAATACACGAAAGAAATGACAAGTAATTTTGGAAAAAAAATGTTGAACTTAGTTTTTCAATTTAAGAAAGAATGAGAGCTTAAAGTCTAAAATAATAAAAAAAAACTATTTATAGTAGAACTAATCAGCCTAATTACTCAACGAAATTGATTAATTAACTAAGCTATTAATAGACTAACTTATAATAATTACAACTATTCCATTTATTTTAGTCCGGTAACACATAAAGAAGGTATATCTCGAGTCAAGATGTGGTGGATTGAAATTTCAGATAAAGGCAAACATAGTGGCAATTTGGAACCGTGGAGTTCATGAACCACTTGTTGCATAGATGGTCTAGAGTTTGGTTTAGAATTCACACATGCCAATGCTAGCATTATCACAATAACTATATCTTTAGCAATTTTTGGATTTGAAGGAAGCGGAACACGTGAATCCACAAGATCTTTCAACAATTTGCTTTGAGTGGACAAGTTTGATATTAATGTTTCTAATGCCACCACTCCAAAACTATAAACATCACATTTTTCTGTCACAGTCAATGTGTAAGCAAGTTCTGTAATAGTAAGAAAAACAAGAAAGTTAGCTTATCAAAATACATAATGAAATCAATTCAGGGAAGTTATAAATAGATTTTCTTCTTTAAAAACATCCTTAACCTGGAGCAATATATCCATACGTGCCAACTACCAAAGTATTATTTGAAGAATCAGGATCAAGGAGTCTAGCTGTGCCAAAATCTGAGACAAAAGCCTCCAATTGTGAGTTCAACAAAATATTGCTACTTGTTACATCTCGATGAACAATTGGTGGGGTACAATCATGATGCATGTAGGACAAAGCATGTGCCATTCCTCTGATGATGTTTACCCTCTTACTCCAGTTCAACTCTGCAGCTTCCACATCATTGTTCAAGGCATAAAATAAGCTACCATTTTCCATGTATTGATAGACAAGAAACATGCATCGCTTGTGAAGGCAAAACCCATGAAGCTTTACAACGTTTCTATGACGAATTTTGGTTAACATCTTGACCTCATTGCGAAAACTCTTGTCAAATGATGGATTTTAAGATTCCTTTTGGTGAAGTTTTTTCAATGCAACAATGTTGCCGCTTGGCAATTGTGCCTTGTAGACACTACCATATGTCCCAGTTCCAATGCAATATTTGATATTGAAATCCTCAGTTGCTTCAATGATGTCTTCAAATGCAATTTTACCATCGTAGTTCCATATAGAAAACAAGTCTCCATTCTTTGATGTTGTTTGTACACATTTGGCTTTAGACACACGTCTAGTGAAATATAATGTTGCAAAAAGTACAAAAAGAATGAAACAAACGATTGGAAGCGCAATTGCAACTAAAGACTTAGCTTTATTAGTTTGATGATTGGTTTGGTGGACAGAATGGCAGGATCTGAAATCTGGTTTGCTATAACTGATTAATGATTTCTCTGAGAAAGAACAATAGTCTGGTAATTGTGACTTTGAGTCAAGGTTTTGTGAAAAATCAAATGATTTGAATGAGAGGTTTATATATGCTAAAGTAGCAAGTTCCTTGTGTAGTTTACCTGTGAAATTATTATAACTGAGATCCAAGCTATATAAAATGGAACTCATTCCCAAAACTGATGGAACCTCACCACTGAGAAAATTATGGCTAAGGTTAAGGTTAGTAACACAAGCAATTTGCGAAGTGATGCTTCCATTTAACAAGTTGTTGCTTAAATCCACTGTTGCAAAAGAGGGACAGTTCAAGAGAGGAGATGGAATAGACCCTCTAAGGCAGTTATGGGAAAGATCAAGGTTCCAAATACTAACAGCTTGCACAATCTCTGATGGTATTGAACCCGAAAGAGAGTTATTTGAAAGATTTAAGACCCCTAAACGTGTTAGATTTCCTAGTTCTATTGGTATGCAACCTTCAAGTTGGTTAGAACCAAGGAAGAGATAGACCAAATTCTTCAATTGACCAAAAGTATATGGGATTGAACTAGTGAGTGAATTATGACCAAGTGACAATTGCTTTAACCCTTTTAAGTTCCCTAGTTCTTTTGGTATGAAACCTTGAATTTGGTTACTCCAATTGATCAAAAGCAGAAGGGATAACACCACCAAGAGAATTGCATGAAAGATCAAGCTTCTCAAGTTGAGTGAGATTTAAGAGTTCTTTAGGTATCCTACCATGAAGATGATTGTTAGAGAGGTCAAGATGAGTAAGCTTTGTAAGTGTACCTATTTCCACAGGGATACTTCCCGTGAGTTCCAGTGCATAGAGATCAAGACGAACTAAATTGGTGAATGCAGTTACATTCAAGTTCATAATCTGCAGCAATTCTTCTGACTGAGGAATATTGAATGCCCATGCATCAATATTCGTAACAATTCCATCATCATTGCATATGATACCATTCCAATCAGAGTGATTTGAAATATTTAGATGATCATTGCACCAACCACTCTGGAGTAAAGCCTGAAGTTCCTGATTTATGGATGAGGAATTAGAAGCTGCCATGCTGGTAGCAATAACAGGAGGAGCTACCAAAAATAAAAACTTCTTGAAGACGCTAGATAGAAGCCGGCACGATGGGTCTATTTTTTTTATACAATGGAAAATTAGAAAAAAAAAATAGAGAAAAAAGCTAACTAATAAAAACTAAACCAAAGTCATCGCATAGCAAATGTGTACGAACCTCTACAGTATAGAAGACCTCCGATTCAAAGCCAAAGCGAGTCAACAAAGCAAGCTTTCCTACGAATTTAAAGGACAACAACAATCATACATTTCCTACTTACCCTTAAAAAGAAAAATAACCATTTCCTTAGGTTTTGCCAACTAAATTTCATTCTTGACACTTGTTATAGGAAGCATGTCATATTTCTTGAGACATTAAGAGATGGATTGAAATCTCATACAAAGGCAAAGGCAGTGACAATTTGTAACAAGAGAGTTTCCTAGCCACTTGTTGCATTGATGGTCTGAACTTTGGTTTGGAACACAAACATGCTAATGCTATTGTTCCCACAAGTACAATATCTTGAGCATCTTTTTGACTGGAAGGAAGGGGAAGACGTGAATCCAAGAGGTCCTTCAACAAGAAGTTTTGATTAGATGGGTTTGATAAAGATGAGAGCAGCTCTCTTGGATGCCTTCCCATTAATGTTTCCAAAGCCACGACTCCAAAACTGTAAACATCACATTTTTCTGTCACCTTCAATGTGTATGCAAGCTCTGTAAAAGATTAAAAAAAAAAAAAAAATCAAAGTTAAGACAACTTCTCAACTAAATCACTCCATCAATTAAAGTTAGTCAAAAACAGTGGTTTTTTTTTTTTTTTAACGGAAAAGTGTACTTAACCTGGGGCAACATAGCCATAAGTGCCGACTACTAAGGTTTGATTGGAGGAATGAGGATCAAGGAGTCTAGCAGTGCCAAAGTCTGAAACAAAAGCCTCCAATTGTGAGTTCAACAAAACATTGCTAGTTGTTACATCTCGATGAATAATTGGTGGGGTACAATCATGATGCATGTAGGACAAAGCATGTGCCATTCCTTTAATGATATTCACCCTCATACTCCAATTCAACTCCTCAGCTTCCACATCGTTGTTCAAGACATAAAATAAGCTACCTCTTTCCATGTATTGATAGACAAGAAACATGCTACGATTGTGAAGGCAATACCCATGAAGCTTTACAATGTTTTTGTGGCAGATTTCTGTTAACATCTTGACCTCATTGCGAAAACTCTTGTCAAAAGTTGGATTTTGAGATTCCATTTGGTGAAGTTTCTTCAATGCAACAATGTTACCGCTAGGCAATTGTGCTCTATAGACGCTACCATATGCACCAGTTCCAATGCAGTACTTGAGGTGAAAGTCCTCTGTTGCTTCAATGATGTCTTCAAATGCAATTTTACCATCATAGTTCCATATAGAAAATAAGTCTCCATTGTTTGTTGATCTTTCTTCAGGTTTGTTCTTTAACATCAACCTTGCAAAATAAAATACTGAAAGTAATACAAAAAGAATGAAGCAGATGGTGGGGAGAAAAATTAACAGGAGGAGTTTGTTTTTGCTTGCAAGAGGATTGGTTTGGTGGAAAAAATTGCGGTGGTGAACAAAATGGCATGATGTGAAGTTTGGCATGTGGTAACTAATTATTGAGTCTTTCTTAAAAGAACAGTAATCTGGTAACCGTGAGTTGCTGTCAAGGTCTTGTGAGAAGTCAAAAGAATTGTATGACAAATTTATGTAAGATAGAGCAGCAAGTTCTTTGGGCAATTTGCCTGTGAGATTGTTATAACTAAGATCCAAACTATTTAACGCAGAGTCTATTTCTGGAAGAAATGGAATCTCACCATTCAAAAAATTATGGCTAAGCTGAAGGTGATAAACACAGTGGATTTGGGAAGAGATGGTTCCATATAGCAAGTTATAGCTTAAATCCACATTTTGGATATAGGGACACTTTAGGATTGAAGATGGGATAAACCCTATGAGGTTGTTGTGGGAAAGGTCTACATCTGAAAGACCGATGGGCATCTCCGATGGTATCAACCCAGTAAGAGAATTATGTGATAGATTTAAGATATTTAGATACGCCAAATTGCCTAGTTCTATTGGAATACGACCTTCAAATTTATTTGAACCAAGGTCAAAATAGGATAAATTCTTCAATTGACCCAACGTGGAAGGGATTGAACCGGAAAGTGAATTATGAGAGAGATCTAATTTTTTTAATTGTGTCAGATTCCCCAGTTCCATTGGAATAGGACCTTCAAATTGGTTTGAACCAAGGTAGAGATAGGTTAAATTCTTCAATTGACCCAACGTGGAAGGAATTGAACCGGAAAGTGAATTATGTGAGAGATATAATCCGGTCAATAGTGTTAGATTCCCCAGTTCCATTGGAATAGGACCTTGAAATTGGTTTGAATCAAGGTAGAGATAGATTAAATTCTTCAATTGACCCAATGTGGAAGGGATTGAACCTGCAATGTGGTGGAAAAAGAAAGGAAGAGATGTATGTATGAGATTGTGCAACCAATTGAATGTAAAAGAGATAACTCAACACCACTAAACGTTAATCCTAGAGCTTACCACTTAGGCGATTGTTGGACAGGTCAAGAAATACAAGCTTTGTAAGTCTGCTTATTTCTGTAGGGATGCTTCCTCTAAGTCCCATTCCGTATAGATGTAGAGTCACTAAATTCGTGAAGGCAGTGACGTTCAACTTCCCAATCTCCAGCATTTCTTCTGATAACGGATAGTCATTATTTAATTCCCATCCGGAAATATAAACAACACTTCCATCTTCATTGCATGTGATGCCCACCCATTCACAATGGTTTGAGATATTCGCGTAATGACTCCACCAACCCGTTTGGAGCAGAGCGTGTTTTTCTTTATTTATATTGGAAAGTGCGGTGCAAGTGGGCATTAGCATGATCATGAGCATGGCAGAGAAAAGTGTCACTGCCACTGAACTGACCATAGTTATGGATTTAGATTCAATTAAGCAGTGGCTATGGCTAATCATAGAATATAAGTAACATTGCCATATATAACAATTGTTTACGGCGAAAAATGACAATTTGTAAACAAATAATCCAAAGATCTGGGGACTGGATTTAGGTCCTCTTTGGGTTCTTTTAAGTGTGTTGTTAACGTGATGCTCAAATAAACGGCGAAAAAGAGTATTAAGCAAAAATAGGGAATAGTAATTGTACAGAATTGAATAACTAACGTAGAAGTTGGTTATAGAAGAGTATAAAATAGGAAATGAATTGCAGAAACAGGAACAAAAGCAATTTAAACAAAGCAACTTGAATTGAAATGCAGGAATGGAAATGTGCAGGAATTTAAAGGTGCGTGAATGTAAACGTACGACTCCTCACAACGGCGAACAGCGGCCACCGTAGGTCTCCTTGTAGCTGGTGTCTGGCGCGGTGCAGGGTTTCAGCGTCTCAGAATGTTTAGGTGCGGTGTCTGGGTGCAAAAAGTCGTCCTCTCTAAAATAATGCTTTGTAGTATTTATAGACATGAAGATCACCATCGTTTTCCTCCTTTTGCGGGCACTTCCTAGTAACTGCCTTCAACTGTTGATGCTCACTATCCACGATTGCTTGTGATCGTGCTGTTTGTTGGGGCTGTAACCGCTATCGCCCATGATCTCCTTTGCGTAGTGGTGAATGTTGATAACTACTGGTAACTGCTTTTGAATTTTTCAATACTCCTATCTTTCGAGTATTTCTGAGAGAAACTTAGAAAACTCTTTTAATGTTATGGCCTTGGAATAGTTTCTTTTTGGCTTCTCTTTTCGAGCCATTCTGGAGTTTTGAGAGTCTGTCTGGGTCTTGTGGACTTAGAACATTTTCTTTGCTCATTTCTGTTTTTCGAGCAATTTTGGAGGGACTCTTGAGCTCGCCCAGATTTGTGGACTTAGAATATTTTCTGACCACTTCTTGTTTTTCGAGCAATTCTGGAGGAAATCTGGAACTCAGCCAAGTTTGTGGACTTAGAATATTTTCTTACCACTTCCTGCTTTTCGAGCAGTTTTGGGTGTCAGGTACTTGGAAACTCATGAAATATTCCTCGAAAAGCCATCAATTTTTTGTGGACTTAGAATATTTTCCTGTTAGTCCTGTTTTTCGAGCAGCTTTGGGTGTCAGGACTTAAAAACTCCTCGAAAAACTATCAGTTTTGTGGACTTGGAATATTTTCTTGCCAGTTCTATTTTTGGAGTAGTTTTTGGTGTTAGTGACTTAAAAACTCCTCAAAACTTCTCGAAAAAGCCTTTAGTTTTGTGGTCTTAGGAAATGTGTTCCTTTTAATTAAAACCAAAGATCTTCCAATATTCTCTTATGTTCAGGTTTATCTTTGGCTCCTTCTTGACCCTCAAAACTTCTTGAAATGTAGTTTCCTTTTTAACTTAGAAAATTTTCCTTATCCCAAACAGATGCCCCCCAAAATATTAATATCTCAAGTAGATGAGATTTTAATATTTTTTTAATTTAATTGGAAAATTTTCATTTTCTAATTTTCCCGCCATTTCTTATGGCGTCTCTGCCACTTACCTGCTTTATGTCAAGCACGTTGTCCAAAGTCAGCGCAATAAATGCAGGTACTGCTTGGCAGTTACTGAAAATGTCCCATTATTGAGACGTGCTTTGTTCTGTTGGGGATTCAAGGCCATTTTTGATCGAAAAGACACCCCACTATCTTTTCATCTTCCCACTAAGTGCCAAAATACTCTAGACTTGGGCTCTTGTATGGGCCTTGTACGAGGTTGGGGACCAGTATAAAAAGCGAAGTTACCTTCTCATTTTTTACGCTTTCGTTTTTACTCTCTTTCTTAAGAGCTCTGTTCTCTCTCTTCTGCTTCTTTTTGTATCAAAATTTCTTCTGGTTAGTCCTTATCTTCCCTATTTCTCATCGAAATGGCCTCCAAGTCTAAGGTTCCCTCTGCTTTCTCCAATGCTGAGCTCGTTCCTTTGGGTCATTCGAGCTACCTTCCTGAGCCACCTCTCGAGGAGGAGAAACTGGCTATTTGGAAATCTCAGGTACTCATTCCCTTTTCATTAGGCTCGAAACCTCATGCATTTTTAGGTCCTTTTGTTCCCCAATCATCTGTCGAGTCTTCTTTTTCTGCTGATGGAGTCTTGGCATTCTCTTCCAAATATAACTTGGACTCTCTCGAGAATGCCCAAAAAATATTTATAACTATGCCTCCTGTAACCAAAGACTTATATTTGCCTTGGTTAGATAGAGTTGAGGGTGAAAAACAAGATAGTTGGAGGGCCATAGGAATCTATGATATCATTCAATTGTCTAGGTACAATCTGTCTTACAACTTCCCTATGATCATGAGTTCTCTCTTCTTCTGGGATCGAGCAACTAGCTCTTTCCACGTGCCTTGTGGTATGATTACCCCAACTCTTTTCGATGTGGCTGCCATTCTTGGGCTTAGGCCAACTGGTCCTTCATTTCGACCAGATTCTCACCCCAAAAATCCTGATGTAACCCCAACTTCCAAAAGCTTTCTTACCAACTCTTCATAACCTTGAATATGAATCGAGATGGTCCCGTTACTGATGAGGAGCATGTTGCTTTTCTGATGTTTTGGCTTTCCGCATATGTTTTTTGCTCGAGATTGCTCCAAGTACCAAAGACACTGCTTACTTTGGCCCAATTACTGCATGAAGAGTCTTCAATATGCCTTGGGAAGCTTATCTTAGGGAATTTGTATGAAAATTTAAATGAGGCCGTAGCTTCATTTAAGTCTAATGACTTTCCTTCAGTCATTAGTGGCCCTTTTGGCTGCTTCAGCTCTGGTTGAATGCTATTTTTGAAGAAAAATTACAAAGCTCTGAACCACCCAATATTTCTCGAGAGATTGAAGGTTTTCGTCTGACTTTCTTGACTACTAACATAGCCAAAAAACACTATTGTAATGCTTTTCGACAGTATTTCAATTTTTTCTTATCTCTTCAATCTTTCACTCCTCAACTTGCTCCTTTTTCTGCTCGAAAGGTAGGGCCAGTATGGTTCAAACATCCTTTCCTTCGAGAACCCCAAGTGCCCAGTCTGAAGTTTTAATGACATGGAGACAGTTTCTTTCATGTCAACTTCTTTTTTGTAGTTTCACTCATAGGCCCTATCAAGTGGTTGCTTATCAACCAAATCTGGTAGCTCGACAATTTGGGTTGGGCCAGTTAAAACCTTCTTTATGCTGGAGGGGTCAAATCTCGATATTCTTGAAAACGCTCGAAAGAGTATTGATGATCTGAATGAGGCTATTAGTTTCTTTCGAAAACGTAGGCCAGAAATTTCCCCTTTTGAGTTCGAGCCTATTTTCTACTGTACCAGCACTTTTCAAAGTTGGTGGTCTACTTATTATCATCACCCTGAGATATCTATCGAAGCGTGCAACCAGAAGATGACTTCTGCTTTTTCTCTATTTCAGAAGGGGATCCAAAGGCCAAGACAAGAGGTACGCATATTCGAGAAATCCAATCTTTTGAACGATTTTTTAAAGTACTTTACTTACCACAAAGAATATCCCAAACTATTTTTGAAGCTGCTCTTTCCTTGAGAGAAAAACAAAAGAAAGAGTAAATAGGTATAGGGATTTTCATCCTTTTGAGAAGTTTATAGAAGAAATCCTTTTTAAAAAATTTTGACCAACTTTTCCACCTTTGCCAAACTGTAACTTTGCTCTGGCTTTACCCATAATTTCACCTAAATGGGTCGATCTACCTTCGACTCTTTTGAACGAATTATCCCTCCTCGAAGTAGAATAACAGCTTCGAGATTTTCTTTTAAAACTTATCCTTACCCTCTTCACCTTGATATTCAAGATGTGAGAATCCTTACAAAGTTTAAAGATGGTAAGGTTTACCCTACTTTTCCTCGAAATACCTTTTGTATTTTTTATTTGATTTAAACCTTTTTCGAGTACTTTTACAGCTCTTCCAACAGAACCTTTTGTTGGTCGATATGACCAAGAGGATTGGGAAGAAGATGAGCCTCCTAAGAAAAAACAGAAATCTACTCGAAAAAGTTCTTCAAAATTCCTACAAAAGGATTCATCTACACCCCAAGCTGCCTCTGGGGTGTCTAAGGTAAACATTTGATCTGGGTTTAATTTTATTTTGCTTTTCTCGAGATGCTTATTATTTGAAAATTTTTTCATCTTCCAGGCTAAGACTACCAAAGCCACAAATCCTGCCAAATCCAAAATTTCTGTCGAAATGGCTGTTCCAACTCCTGTTCGACCAACTTCTGATCAACCTTCGACTCAGTCAGCGGAGGTAAGTATTTTGTGCTTTTTAGAGTAAAATTCTATTTTTTCGAGCAATACCCTAACCTTTTCTTTGTAACAGGTTTCAATTGATGACACTCCAAGTGTTAATTCCCCTCCTAGGGTTCAACAGAAGTCAAAAAAGCGCTTGACCCCTATTCCTGAGGAATCTCAAAAAAGCTCGAAAAAGAACCGTGAAGTTGTTTCCAAAACTTGGCGCTGGGGAATGAAGCAACTTCGTCTTCAAGTTCTGGGACTTCGAGTTCTTCTTCAGATGCTTCTTCGAGCTCATCTAGCTCGAGTTCTGAAGACCAAGCTCAAACAGAGCAAGCTTCTGAGGTAAGGCGTGATTTTGCTCGAAATTGATCTTTTTAATCTGTTTCACAATTGATCTTCATACTTGAGACTTTTCTTCTTTCTTTCTAGGTGCCCCCTCTATCTCGACAAAC